AGGCGGGTTTGGCTGGACGACCGAATTGGATTAGGTTTTGAGAAAGGCCCAACCAAACCACCCAAGCAGCTACCTGGTCCAATTAAACAAGGCGGCACCGGTGCCGCACTTTTAACGGCGGCACTATAGTATTGGCCAGAGTAGGGATGGCAATGGATCGGGTGGGGGATGGATAGTGCATATCCGTTAGCCTACCCAAAGTAGTTCGGCTTTTACCCATACCCACATGAGAAACGGGTAGAAAATCCAAACCGTGCTCATACTCGTTCAGGTTTCGGGTATCCACGGTTATCCATGAGTAATAGTTTCTCTTTATAACTCCAACCAATATGTTAATATTCACATGTACGCTCATGTTACGTAAGACGAAAAGTACGACAATAATGCACTAGAATGAAGACAATTAATTAAAATACCACAATTTCATAAAAATATTAATATTTATATGCTAAATATAAAATATGTTAGAGAAAAATATTGATTATTAGTACACAAAATACATATGCATGTGTATAATCGGGCGGGTTCGGGTTGGATAGTGAGAAAATCATGCCCACCCGTTACCCGCAATATTCGGATTCGGTTTGTACCCGTACCCACTAAATGTCCTTCGGGTTTTACCCTACCCGATTAGGTCGGATTCGGGCGGATATCCACGGTTACATATATTTTTGCTATCCCTAAGCTAGAGGGGATATAACTAAGCTTTCGAGAGGAAACTTTATTTTCGTGGTGGTTGTCGTCTCGTTCTTTAATTACGAGATCGGGAGTTCGATCCTTACTCATGAGAGTGAGGTCATTTCATAGTCAATCAGTTACCATTTCGTGCGATGACTGGTGGCCAGAGGTTAGTCACTATTATCGACAACACATTATCCTTACTCACAGATGGACTCTCAGTGTCCATATGTAATACCATGTGTCTCATGTTAGATATGGCTCTTTGGCTCATAGAGATATTTAGACATATCACTCATTACAATTCGAGTATGCATTTTAAAGCGGGGAAAACACAAAAATAATCAAATCTTCATAAAGTTTCAAAAATAGCAATTTGTAAAGAGAATGAAAACAATTGAATAGGATGTTTGTGTCTCTCATGTTTATACTTATAGGGAAGGCAAATGTGTGGTTGATTTTCTTGCGAAAAAGGGTCACGATGTTTCTTTTGAGTCACATCTCATCGATGTGAGAGACCTCGGAATATTGTACTGGATTAATTATGATATCATGGGAGTCACCATGAATCGGGTTGTTAATGAATGAATCGGATGCCTTTAGCGTCAGTTTTCTTACAAAAAAAAATACAATAAAGGAGGCGCTCGCTCAGTCTAGTACTAGACAAAACGGATAAGAATCTAACGATGTAGAAACAACTCAAAATTTCTATCCAATTACCCAGTCAGATGTAAAACATATCATATCATCGAATGAATCAAGCGGAAACTACCATCACTACTGTTCAGTGTTCACCCAACCAAATAGTCTAGCAAGAGGAAAATTCTTGTCACGCATTCATTGTCACATCATTTCTCCATGACCAAACAACTCACTTTTTATATACTAACAACTTGGGAATTACAAGAAAAATCACTACAAACAAGAATTACAAGGAAAACAAAAAGTCAAATGATTTTGGGAGGAGGGGACCTAACAAGTAACAAGTAGTAACAATGTGAGGAGGAGATAATTAGGTATGCAGTAGCCCATCAGAAGATATCAAGGATCTCCAAGATCGGACGGTTGCAAACGGGACAACACCCTCTATGGGCCCACAGATCCCTCGAACAAACCCTACAGAAGGTATGGCCGCAGGGGATAAACGCCGCGCCCTTATCCCTCTCCATGCACACGCAGCACAGCGAATCCCCGCCCTCCTCCTCCTTCTTCTTGTCCGTTGCCGCCAGTGCCAGTACTCCTTCCAGAGGCTCATCCTCTCTCCTCCGCTTCGTCATCCGCCAATCAGAGCCGTCCGTTTCCTCGATCAGCCTCATCAGCGTCTTGGAATCCCCGCCGTTGGGGCCCCGCAAATTCCGCTCCTCGGCCAGCGCCATCGCCAGGTTCATCCCGCTCGGTCTCGCCCCGATTAGCTGCCGGAGCGTGATGGGCATCATCGGCACGTCCTCCCGCTCGTCGCCGCCGCCGGTGGTTTCTTCTTCTTCTTCTCCTTCTTCCCCTCCTTGTTCTTCGGGGTCGGAGATTATGACCCCCGGGCCGGCGATGGCCCAGGCGGCGGCGGCGCCACCGCAGCAGCCGCTCAAGCCCCTGAAAGTCAATCGCCGCTTCAGATTCTTCCACCCTGCCATAAATTGGGGAAAAGGGCCGAACCTGCGTTCTTCCTAGTTGCCGGCGACGGAGGCTTGCGAAATTTGTGGTGGTTAGGTTATATTAGGAGATAATGGAGATGCAAACGGAAGCAAATGTTATATTTTTGTTTCTTGTGTGAAGGACGGGCGGCAGAGCCAGAAGAGAAGAGAAGAGAAGAGAAGAAAGGGAGTGAGCGAGTGGCAAGTGGCAAATTGGAAGGAGCCAAATGGGGAATAATGAAAGAAGGGAACTTCAGTTTTATATTATTATATATATCTTTTTCTTCTGTAAATTTATGGATAAATAGTCAATCCAGTCCCTAATTTTTCTTGAATATAACTCTTATACGGCTACGACTTAGTAACAAATGAATCTCGTCAAATTGTTCTTTATTCTTGCGTAAATGAAAGACGTTGATCTGAATCAACATGTTCATAACAAACTCAATGCATTTTCATTTTTTCCGGTTATTTACAAGATCCTAGATAAGTTTTTCATAAACTTTTGGTTGAATAGTAGATGGTATGGAATTTTAAGAATTGACAAGTTAATGTTGACTCAACATACTCGTGAAATGCAGTTTGTTGCTAAGTGTGGGAATCTGCCGAACAGTTTAGGGCAAACCCTGAAGAAAGCTAAAAAGTGGTAGAAATAGTGGTGCATTCATCCAAGAAGTTTTACTGGAAAATAAAATCGTATTAGAGGCTATACCAGAAAATTTAGCGATAAGAAGTTTTATGTCGAATCGTGGTTCAATCATATCATATCACAATATATAGCCTACCATAGAATGTTTTTCTTATCGAACCGTCGATACGGTACATTTTTCAATCCTTGGTACAAAGGGGCTTGTTTGTCATCTTTGCTTAATGCAATGACTGGTTCAACTCTTACTCCTAAATTTACGAAAAGAATGTTGCATTGGATTCAATTATTTGATTAGCGTGATAATGATAACCTACTGGAAAAGGTGGAAGGTGAAAGTGAAAAATTATTCCTCACTTTGAGTGCTTTTTCTCTTTTACAAACATGAAAATAATGAAAAATGAAGGCGCGTGGGACCTTTTGTTTTGTTTTTCATTCTTTTATGGTTGAGATGGTTCAGCAGTTTGAAAGCATTAGGTAGAACATTGTACCTACAAAGCTTCCTGCTTAGTTTGCTATTTGGGATCCATTAGGTACCAGAGAATGATAAGTGCGTTGTTATTGGATGATAACCCTCCCTATGTGTGAGAATAATACAAAATTAAAGTGAGAGAGGAGATAAATTAAAAGGAGTTACGAAAATTCGAATATAGTCTTTTTAACTATCATAGTGTAACTGGATCATGCTCATGATCACTGTCTATTGGTGGAGGTACATGTAATTCGGAAGGAGTTACAACTTACATCTCATTTCCAACTTTTTATCTAACGATATAATATGTATATTTACATCATGAGAAAACATTAAAATGTGGACTAATTGCCCCCTCCCTCCACCAATATTTAGATTCAATCGTGGGAAGTTATTGTAGTTTGTCATTTTCTATCCCCGGCTCCAAGTCCTAATTTGCTACTGCGATTGCCTAGTTAAAAGGTTGGTTGGTTTGTAATAATATGTTATGATATAGGAACTAAATTGATTAGATAGATGATTTGATCTTGATGCTTTGCTTCCTTTTCATGATTGATGGTGATCATTTAGGTTGGAGAGAGTTGACAACTTAGGCTTTGATGGTGATCAATTATTCTTAGTGTACACCAACATCTAAACAAAACACGTATATGGGTCAAACCTCTTGTCTCACAAGGAAATTATAATTTAGAATTGCATACCTAAACTAGTTTTGGATAGGACAGAATATGAATTGGTTCCACTCTTCTTCTAATCTTTTAGAAAGTGGGTTCCATTCTAATTGGCTAAAGAATTAAGTACCTACATTGAGAGAGATGCAACTCTCTATAATCAAAGTCATGATTGTATCAGCATAATGGAGGTTATATTAAAAAAAGTCAATGTTAGAGTATTGTATTCTAGAATTGTAGCTTAACTATTGTTCAATCGTGTTACAATCGTTTCATATGGTTAAATCCGCTATCAATTTAGACTCCGATAAAAATTTACACACCAAACCACCAATTCGGTATGATTTTACAGTATACTAACTACTAACTAGGGGAACAACAATTGAGTGTTGACAGCAAGATGCAACACTCCCTAGGCTTCCTTTTGTGTAGACAAAGAAGTAAAAAAAAAAAAAACATTATTGGACTTGCCAAGGAAGATCCGCAAGGCGCCAAATTCAAATGTTTTACTGCTTTCAAGTTTATATATGTGGTCGCAGAAAAAGAAGGCGCCAAATTCAAATCAAAGTCTAGCGCTGGCCTAGTGGGCGAGACATGGTTTGCAGTTTGCTGCTTGTGGTTGTGGGGATTCTAGAAAAGAAGACAAAAGAAAGAAAGGGGACAAAAGGACAGCCCAAAATCATACTCTTCTGAAAAAGCCACAACTTCCGGCTGGATAATTGCAAATCTTCACCAAGATCAAGCAGCTCCTCCGTTTTGGAAACAACAAACACCCCAGCTATATTCCAGTCATTGACAAATCTTCCTAATCATAAACAAAACAAAAGGAGGAAAATTGCACTACTGCCAGCTGATTGCTGACACGGACGCGGAAGCATTTAATAAGCATTGATCTTCTTAGATTACCTTCCACACATTACCAGCAATCGACTCGAGTAAGATGGCATTGCTTTACAAGAACAATCCGACAATAAGCATATTATACGCGAATGCAATCTAACAGCGTCACCACACGTTTGATCATCCCCATATTAGGATAATAGCCAAATGCATAGAAACTGACTCCTTTTCCTTCTCAAATGATATGAGACCGTGGTCCATGTACTACTCAATTTTCAATATTTCATTGCTGAGAAATGAACTCCCTGACTGAACTTAAACTTCCACTGCCAATTTGGTTTGTTCAGATCACTTTGTATAGGCAGTCAGTCAAGCTTCTGGGTATTCTGGGCCATGCAATGACTGATTAGGCCACCACATACAATCATGGCAGTAACATGGGCAAATAGTACATCTTCTTGGATCCGTTCCTAGGTGTCACTGCTCTATAAAGTCACACAATTTAGGCCCCACAAGATCTTAACAATTAGGCCGTGTAAGATAACTGTTAACGAAGCTTGCTTTCATACTTTGGGATGTTCCAAGCTCCAAGCAGCTAATTCACTCATATGAATTGGAATAGAGAAAGTCAGGAATAGCAGAAAGGAAAGGAAGGGAAGAAAGCCCTATATTTAGTATATGATTACTATGTTAATCAGCATGTGAAGAGTATGGATCTTCCTTTTACCAATTCTTAGTACAATACAACATTATGGAAGTACGTTTAAGTGGGAACATTTGTCTCCCCATTCCAGGCACTAGCTAAAAAACTTTTGACTACTGTTACACCCATGACCAATGATTCAAATGGAGGATCTATGATCAATTCATGGAAGACAGTGATTGAATGTACCTTTGGTATATTCAAAGAATCAACAGAGTTTGAAGCCGGAAAGCTAAGTCTTCATGTTATTCCACGGCAAGACGTTGATGCTAAGCAGCCTACAGGAAAGATTTCTCTGATCAGGGAGATTCTAGTGGAAGTCATTCACAATCCAGTTCATTACAGGAAAAGTCAGACGAGTAAGCACATCTAAATAAAATGCAAGCAGAACTTACAGAAATCAAGATCTCTTCCTTCAAAATTGGGGCCTGGGAGTTTCACCAACAGCCACCTTATATTAGGAGCTTGCCAGCTGCCATTGACACGTTTTATGTGCGAGTTATATCGGCCATCAATACGCTCTCTGGGATTGACCCTCTGATGATCTTTTGTGGTGTAATTGGCACTTCACACCAGTATATCACCACAGTGTGGCTAATTTAAGCAACTCATTTTAACTTCAACCATCGCAAGTCACCATGTCCTGTTGAAAAAACGGTTATCATAAATATCACCCTAAACTAGTTAGACAATAATTAGAAGTACGATTTTAAGGTGTCCATCAAGACCCGAACCCAACATCTCGAGGCTACGACGTTGCCTTCGAACCACCAGGCTAGAAGCGTTTGATTATCCCCTTGGATAATAGAGATATAATGCTTGTTAATATCACTAATCTTGAAAAGTCTATTAAAGCTTTAGACACAACATACCCTGGATTTAAAATTTACTATAACCAACTTCTAGCATCAGATGACGATAGCTCCGACCACGTATGAACCGTTGCCACAAAAATTGGAACGAAGACCTGTAATCCATTTGCATCTTTTCCTTCACAAGCCTGCAAAGTCGCATTGTAAGTTGCACGTAACCATTTTAGTAAAAACTTATCCAACTGAAGAAATCCCAAGGGAATAAACAGCCTTCCCAACTTACCATCTCGCTAGACACCGTTGAATTCCTCTAGATATGGGTCGAATGAAGGATGGATCACGTTGAGCGTATAGTAAACCAACCTCGATCAATGCACCTGTGCATGGATCATCCAGAATCTCCAAGCTACAGTCAGCTAGATAATTAATCTGCAAGCAGTAAACTGGAATAAAGTTTCTAGAAAAGGGACACTTGTACCTAGATATAAAACTGGTAGATGGTGGCAGTTCACGATGTTGAACACCAACCAACTAAGCAAGATTTGTGTACTTCATTTCCATTAGTTATTAATAAGTAAAAATCACCAATGAGACTAGTCCACCAGACATAAGAAAATAAACCCTGCTATAAAGAAGAACGTGAAAATTAGCTCAGAATGCGAGAAAAGCATTATACCCCAAATTCAGTGTTCGCTAGAGTCTGAATAAAATCCATGAGTTGGAGCTTGGCCCACTTGGAGGACCGAATAGGATCATCCCTTGGAGAATGCCTCCAAGGAGAACCAAAGCGCAGTCTATCTTTTGGAATCTTGCCCATTCTTGCATCCTCTGCAAACTTCTCTAGGATCACAATGGCTTTATCCATCGCAGGATTTACAACAATTATCTAATCAGAAGAAAAAGATAACATCAGTGTCATTCAAAGTGAAACGGGGTTACAAATTAGGATTTGAAAAAAGAAAAAAAAAACAAGCTACAAGGAAGAAAGAAAAAAGACTCACCTGCAGATAAGCTAAATATGCATCGATGACATCCTCAAATGTGCTATCCTTGTCCTCCAGTACCCTTCAATAAAATCGACATAAGAAGTGATAAGAAAAAATTTATCATCATCATGAGATCTTTTCTATTACTTTCCTTTTGGAACTAAAATTTGGTAAGTCTAAAAAACAAAGATGAATTATGTAAAATTTGATGACCCTTAAAGATTGCCAAAAGACTGCCTAAGATATTCCTGGTATTATTAACATTCAAACTGAACAAATTTCACCAGTGACGAAAACAAATTTCCTTATCTAACCACAATCCATGACAGGAAATTTATGAAGACAAAGGATATTCTTACTTCTGGTAATAGCTGCTTTGCTTGAGTGCATAAAGTTCAAACAGATGCCTAGGGCTTGGTCCAAGCACTTCAACTATCAACTTCCACTGCAGGTCAACAAGGTTCAAGACTCCAATTAGTGTAACAAATTAATATTAGCACCAGTTGATGAATAGGAGGGTGAAAGTGCCTCCAATACTTTCAAGAAGGAGATTTAGACTCCAATTACGATCTTCCTAAGGATAACTTATGACTTTCTGAGTCTTGAAACAAAGAAATAGGGCTGAAGAAATTGTGTTAGAATTATAACTAATACCTCTGATTGACTGAAGTAGTCAGCAACCATGTGCAGTTCAGCCTCCCTTGGAGTCCATCCAAAGGACTGGAGAGAAATCAAATTTCACATTAGCAACGTAATGACCTGAATCCCACAAGATACATACCTTAACATGTGGACTCAGTTAACCAAAATTACTTCTCGTACACATGCACAGGAACAGTACTGAATATGTAGGAATGTTTTAAAAACAAAATTAACCAAAAAGGTTATATCCAAGGAAATTCAAATGATTGAGTGGTTTCATTTGGGTAGTGGTTGGGGAAATTGATAGCAAATAAGTCACAAGAGTCAATCTCTACATGAAATAAGTGAACTACAATTTGGAGTTGGATCTGCCAAAAAAATTATTCACCCTAAAGTCCTCATTGAAGTAACCAGATCAGTTGCAAAACTAATTGATGTTCTCCAGCAGACTAACAAATTGAATAAGTGCAGCAGCAACTTCAGTACCTCTCGGGAGATAAAGATATCTGGAAAACCAAAATCCATGAAGGCCCTGTAAGAATAGTAGCTGCAGAACAAGTCTTCTATTAGAATTATAAAGCCAGTCAGCAACAAACATACATGTCAAACCAGTTTTACTTTATCAGTTAGGTTGGGCATAGGTTAATAAATAAAGAAACCGACCTATCAGAAGTCACAAGCATAACGGGAAGACACTTCTCATTGGCACCCAGCGCAATGATTCTCCATATCAGACTGTCATGGTACATTGATCCAGACACCATCTTGTCATCAGTTAACAATGCATTTTTCAGTACTTCAATATTGTTTATTACCAGCTTCGGCTGCAAAACAAAGAACAAATCAATACACAACCCCATCATACAAAATCAATTCAGTAAACAACATAGGTTCCCAATCCACAGTTACCTGAAAGTAATCAATCTCAGCAGCCTGCGACAGCAGCTCAAGCAACAAACAAGGCCAATCCGTGGACGAATTCGCCAGAGACCGAGAGAACCCACCAGACCGATTCAAATGGGCAATGGCATTACCTCTCGAAGTCTGAATCGCTCTAATGACCTCCTTGGCCAATCTCAGCGCAACCAAGGCTTCCCTATAGTAAGAAGCTTCATCAACAGACAACTTCCTCTTCCCCTTCTCTCCCAAGTTCAATAATTTATCCATCTCTCTGGCATTTGATCGAGCACTTAGCGCGCATAACGCACGGTCCCATAGAACAGACCCAGAAACCTTTTGAGAAACCGCATTTTTCGATTTAGAAGCAAGGGCGGGGCTGTTCTGGAATATAATCCGGCGAAGCGCGGTGTCGGGACGATGCCATTTGCTGACAGTGGAGAATATTTGAGTGGAGGAAATGCTGCCAAGCCGAATCGCCCTCTGGGCCATGGATTCAAGGCAACTCTCCAACTGGGTCGCGCAATCAGCGAGAACCGGCGGCGTGCAGGTTGACCATGAACCCCACGGAAAAGAATTGCCGTGCTTCGGGTGATGATCCTTCACTGATTCTGCGAAATCAACGTAACCGGTGATGTGGGCACCTTTGTTCCAATCGTTCAGGAGACCTGCAAAAGGAACGCAGCAAAAATTGGAATCATCATCAGTTTGCTCCGGAATCAGCCAAAAAGTGGAAGGGGCGAATTCGACGGAGTTTCTCACGGTCAATGATGAGGGTGGTTTTGCCGACGCCGCGAGGGCCGTGGAGGATGAGAGGCTGCTGAACTCGGTGGTGCTGAGCGTGGTTGTTCAGGATTGTTTCCAGCAATGGCCGCGGGATTATCCTCCATGGTTTGCTCACCATTTTGTGCCTTCACGTCTGCTGAATTGTTTCTTCTACTTCGTGGCGTCAGAATCAGCTGGTGGATCGGAGATGGGGTTTTAGGGAGGAAGAAGGAGGGGAAGCTCGGAAAAGAATGGCGCTTAGCTTAGGGGTTTAGACGCCGGCGGACTGGTGATAAATCAAGTCGGGTCAGAGGTGGGAGTTCTTTCGGGTCGCAGGCTTCCCGTTTTCCTTATTCGGCCCATACTTAATGAGTCATGGGCTTTAGGAGACTGTCTGTGTCTGGTCTTCTGTCCAGTTAAGAGCTAGCTCTCCGCAGTTGCCTTGTTGGGTAGAGTGTGGCGAGGCCCATAAAATGTGACCACACAATACGGATACAGGGAGCTTGGATATATTTTTTTCTTTATTTGTGCTAAACTGCGAATAGAGGCCCATAGAATGTGAGCACAAAGGCAGGGGGGAGCTTGGGCAGATTTTTTTTGGTTGCTAGTTGCTACAAAGAGGAGAGGGGAGGAAATGAGCCGTTTTTCCTAGTGATGGTTTCTGTATTAGGGATACTACAATGCGACAGTATCAAATAACTCATTTTTGGTAGAAAATGTATACTGTTGGTAGAATGTCTTAGCAGCTTATTTGACTGAGCATTAATGTCTTTTTTGTGAAACTTGGTCGATATTTGATCAAGCTAGAGCTATAAAATGATGCGACAAAAATTAAAGAAATAAAATTCATGCATCCGCTGCTGCCCTTATCACAATTTTATGATTAATTAACCACCTCTAAGTTAATTAATTAACTTTGATTTCGGATTAGGCTAAACGGGTAATTGAGTCATAATGATATGTGTATTCTCAAAATAACCCTAATCATACCGTCGCATGTTAAGGTTTTCGTCTCTTTGGGTCGTGGTGACTAGTGAGTACTCATAACTCATAAGCTCTGGTTGTAGTGTTGAAAATGGTGTCATTTTATACGTATAGGCGAGTTGTAAAAGTGGGAAAGCAACACAAGAATTTTCTGAAGGGACCTCAATTCTCGTGCTTGTCGCGAGATTGCCTTTGAATCATATGGGTAAGAACCTCAGACATATGGATACAATAGTCAATATTCTACTGTGACGAATTCATTGTGTTGAAATGAGTGACGTGAATCCCAATTCTGTAATGACATGTTGATTATATGTGATTTGTTTATTAGTGATAAGTATTTGATTAAGGTTAATTTCTTAATTTAGTAGATAATTACGTCAAGGGTGGGGTTTTTAACAGATGACAGATTATTGGGACGAATTGGTATACAAGAATGACTCAAATGATATTGAGAATGAAGAGGCATGACCATCAGAAGACTATGAGGACGATGCATCCGTTGCACGGGAGGTCTACCATGTGTACGTCTCTGACGATGCAGGAACATGTATACATCTGAGATTAAGGAAATGCAGCTGCATTGCATATACTTAACGAATTATACGTCCTTCGCGATTACACTACTTGTAAATTGTGATGGAGTTTTGATTTCAAATAATTTGCCTACTTGGCAGCTGACGACAGCAATAGTGTATTACCTAGAAAGAAACACGAGAAAAACAAAATGATAGTAGGGAGAAGTGATTCATTGTTTTTTTTTTTTTTTGACAAAAGAAGTGATTCATTGTTGGTGTGCATTGAAAGCATTACCACCGGATCAAGTCTAGTTCTAGTTATTATTAGTCAGTCATGAATGCCTCTGTCAAAGCACTGTCGCTTCCTCGTGAAGATTCTTTCATTTCAACTGCGCAACTATTTATTAGTTATTACTTTGCTGCTCTTTCTCTCCTCAATATCTAGTTTTGCCTTCGCTATCACTATCGGCATTCAAACAACATCATCGGTGAGACTGTGACCACCGACCTAACTGACTCCCATTGCCCCTTCCTTATCATTAATCATGTCCACTAATTGTGCTTATTAAGCCTGCTGGGTTATGTCAAACGCTTGTTTAATTGTGCAGTCCAAACAATAATTAAAAAATCATGGATGCCGCCATCTTCTAATATTAAAGTCCACTTAGTGCGAAAATCATGCTACACTTTCAACACTTCTCCAAGCTGATGGGAGTCAATAGCTTTTTTTTTTTTTTTTTTTTGCCATAGGACTCAATAGCTCTTTTAAAAAAGAGAGTCAATAGTCTCCAGAATCTCATTTTTCCTTCATAAACACGAGAAATTTATGTACTCGCAAGTCACAATATCGAGTAAAATGAGAATCAATGTAGGTTATCTAAACAACATATTTGTTTCAGGAAAAAGATAGTATAATAAACGCTACAAGTATAATTTTTTACGGATAATAAACGATACAAGTATTGTTATGGTTCTAACACTATATTGTAATTGTTAACATTTTCACTTAGAAATTTTTTTTTGATAAGGTGATGAACTTTATTAAAATAAAAAGACAGCAGCTCCACAAGGAGTGGAGAGTGCCTGCGAAGGAAAGAACAAATGAAGCAGTAGCAGAGAACCAAGGGAAACTAGAGTACATCAGGTCACCGAGACCAAAGCAAAAAAGAAGGAAGACCAAACAAAAAGGATCGAACATAACTCTTCATCAACCCGCCGATCTCCGAAAGCGGGTCCAGCAGACCCAGAACCAACCTTCAGCAAGGGCGCGGCAACGCAGAGAGCAACCCCTCGGCTAAACACCGCCGACAGCAATAGGAGCAGGAACAACTCTCCTGTCCGAACACCATCTTCTAAACCACTCGACACACCTATGCTTATCAACTTTGCCGGTTGCCCCGATCCACTCAAGCGTGGCCTTGATGATTTTCCCAGCAACTACTTGCGCCGGGCAGAACTCCTGATTGAAGATCCTCTGATTCCTTTCTTTCCAAACCGACCAGCAGACAGCGTGGAGGACACTTTGAGTGAAGGCTCCGCCAATGCACTCCATCGATCCCAAAGGCCAGTTGTTGATGACGTCGACGATGTCCCCCACCGGGATCCTGAGACTGGTCTCCGAGAGCAGCACAAGCCTCCAAACTTCTTTGACGAAGCTACAACCCATAAATAAATGGTTAACACTCTCCTCGCTGCAACAACAGAGGGCACACATGCTGGCCAGCGCGACCCCACGTCTCTGAAGATTGTCATGGGTGAGGATTCTCTTGTGCCAGACGAGCCATAGGAATCCGCAAACTTTTGAGGGGATGAAGCCTCTCCAAACAATAATGCAAGGAAAGTTCGCCACCCCCGGGAACCTGTTTTCCACCTGGAACCTGTAAAGAGTTTTAACAGAAAAGGAAAGATTCGGATCCGGAGACCACACCACCCTACAAGGGCTACACATGATTCTATGCGAGTTAGCCAACACAGTTTCAATAAGTTTCACCCTTTCCCTTTCAGCCCCCCACGAAGATTAACATTTAGAGGAATTTCACACAAAACATTCTCACCATTGGAAGTCACAAAATCGGAGATCTTAGCCAACGGGGAGCCCGCAGCCGCAGCAATCCTTGGAAAAGAGTCGGCAAGACGTTCTCCGGGAATCCAAACATCCTACCAAAATGAAACATAAGCCCCCGAGCCCGGTTCAATGCAGGCCCCTTTCCAGAAAACCTCACCTGCACGAGAGATGTTCGCCCACACCGAGCTATCGAACCCACAACTCAGTTTCCGCGTTTTCCATTCCGAAATCTCGTCAGAATACTTAACTGCAATTAGCTGCCTCCACCAGCTTTCCCTCTCAACCGCGAACCTCCAAATCCATTTGCCAAGGAGCGCATTATTGAAACTCTCAAGATCGAAAGCTCCAATGCCACCCTTATCCTTGTCAGCCTTACACAAATCCCATCTCACGAGATGGAATTTATTCTTCTCATCCGAGCCACACCACAAGAACCTCCTCTAGATCCTTTCAAGTCTCTCAATCGCCGATTTTGGAGCCTTTAGCAAAGAAAAATGATACACCGGCATGCTGTTCAAGGTGGAGGAGTTTAGGACTAATCTTGCACCGAGAGAAAGATGCTTGTTTTTCCAACCTTGTAGCCGATCTTGGTATTTCTTGATGACTGGGTTCCATAAAGAAAGCCCATTCGGTCTGTCCCCCAGAGGCAGCCCCAAGTATTTAGTTGGGTCATTACTCCACTTACATCCAAATATACCAGCAAGATATCCAGGCTCGTGAACGTCTCCAACAGTGAACATAACTGACTTATCTAAGTTAATCTTAAGCCCCGTAACAGCCTGGAAACACACAAGAACAGCGAGGATAGTGATAACCTGGTCAACGGAAGCTTCGCAAAAGATGAGTGAGTCGTCAGCAAAAAGAAGGTGAGTGACCTCGCCCCTACCCTGATGCTCATCCATGGAGAAACCATTAATACCCCCTGACTCCTTAACCTTCCCAATCATGAAAGACAGAATGTCCATAACCAAGACAAAGAGACCCGGGGATAAAGGGTCTCCTTGCCTGACGCCCTTCTCGGGTTTAAAAAAACCGTGGGACTCACCATTCACAAGCACAGAGGCCATAGGAGAACACATGGTGGCCTTAATCCACTGGTGCCACTGTCTCGGAAAACCCAACCTTGACAACACATTAAACAAGCAGCACCAGCTCACGTTATCAAACGCCTTTTCGATATCAAGTTTGAACATCAGCCCCGGTTTCCTGCTCTTTCGCCTGCTGTCCACAAGTTCATTGGCAATAAGAGTAGCCTCAGAAATATGCCTACCCCTAACCGAAGCATGCTGGTTATGAGAGACAATACCTGGAAGAGCATTCCTCATCCTCTTCATCAAGACTTTGCTTATAATTTTATTAAAGCTGCTCATGAGACAGATTGGTCGCAGGTCCTTTATGCTCTCCACAGCGTCCACTTTCGGAGTAAGACAAATAAAAGAATGAGTGATGGACTTCGGCAAATACCCTGTCTCGTGGAAGTCGTTAAACGCTTCCTGGATTTCCTTCTTTATAAACATCCAGCACCTTTTATAGAATTCAAGTGTGAAACCATCCGGACCCGGGGCCTTAGTCCCATCACTCGAGCTAATCGCCTCCCAGATCTCCTTCTCGGAGAAAGGTTGGATTAGATCTCTCCCCAAAGCCTCGTCAATCCTCCAAGCAAAGTAATCTTCTGGGAAAGGTCTACTAGAAGTGTGTTCTTTGAAAACAGCTTCATAGTAGGAAGCAATAGCATTCCCAAGATTCTCCCGACCTTCCACTGTCTCCCCATTAATGAGAATCCGATCGATGAGGTTAAGCTTGCGGCGGTAGTTCGCCATCCGGTGAAAATAACCAGAATTCTTCTCCCCCACCTTCAACCACAGCTCTCTGGACTTTTGCC